GCTAGAATGAATGATCTGAGAACCAGTGAGCAGAACGACAGCGTCCATGTTTTATGCCCAGCCCTCTCAGGATAAACCTACAAACCTTGCCCCCCATATTCGATAGGCCGTCCTGAGGGCATTTACCCTCCCCACCTAAGATCCTGTCTAACTTTATTGTCTACAGTATGTAGTCTGCCAACGATATTTAATAGTTTTCAAAACAGTAAGTGATCCTGTACTTCTAAATACACCTTTTCAAAGTTCAATTACCAAGCCTAAAAATCCTGCTATGTGGTCGGCCCCCTCCTTGAGAACCGGGGTACAGCGAAGGCCTGGAGGGGACAGGTTTGTGGCCACATGCCTCATTAGCAGAGTAATCTTGGGTTCAGTACTAGGGTCTCTGTGACTACTCCCTAATGCTGTGCTTCTCAACTGGGGGCAATCTGGCCCCCAGGGGGACATGTGGCAACATCGGGAGACATCTGTGGTTTCACAACTAGGGAAAGGATTGCACAAGAAGCCCCCCACCACAAAGAATGATCTGGCCCCCAAATGTCAAGGGTGCCTAGGTGGGGAAATGCTGCCCTAATGGAAATGCAAGTACCTAGGACAAGGACTGGAGTAGGGACTTCGTGAAATGAACAGATACATGATGGTACCTGCTGTGACCAGCACATGCGGTGCTCCAGGTAGTCGAGGTCCTTCCTCTCCAAGCCTCAGGCCTCCCATCTGTTAAACAGTCACCCCCAGCTTCTTGGCTCCTGTGCTAACTAAGCCCTCTGGTTTCAACAGTCCCAATTTCCACGAACCCGCATAATTTGCAATGGACGCAATTTCTATGTTTATGGAAAACTGCCACAACCTTCACATCATTTGGGCTTCAGTATGAAGCTATAAAACCACCCACAGATTCTGAAGCCTTAAGCCATGAGAAATTAGGCATTTCTAGAAGTAACCTTTAAGGTATGTTATTCTTTGCCTTATTACTGAATCCCGGAAAGGGCCTGGTTACCTCTAAGAGGTTTGAATTTCCAATCTATTAGAGTAATACCAGCAATCTGTTATTTCTAGGCTATTGAGGAAAGGTTAGAGTGAAAATGGGATTTGGGTGATTATGTCCATTCCAAGCACAGGCAGAGGACTCAGCAGTGGAAGAGGGCCAGGGCCTGGAAGGAGCAGTTATCAAGGGAAATGACTGGTGATAACTTTATTGATTAAAGCAGCTTGAAAAATTTAAGATTTGCCACCACCTGGCACTGAGGATCGCTCCTCATAGGCATTTTTCATTAAAAATAAAGAAGCAGGAACAGAGAATTATTACCTTGTGCATAAGACACAGTTCATTTGAAATGGCCTTATTTTGAAATACTGCCTTAAAATGTCTACATATCCTGAGGCTCAAAACAACATTAACGAACATTTTAGAAAAACAGCGGGGTGAGAGCGTTAACAACATGCAGTTACGGCTCAACTATCTGTCAAGGGGAGAGACAGAAATGACACGTGAGGGGGGAAGGGAGAACGATAATGTGAGAGGTAAATAAGATTGTGGTCAGAGCCGCCAGAGAAAACAATCCCTCAGCTACCCAGGGCCTCCGATGCTCGCAATCAACTGCCGAAGGGACCTCAACCTCATCACACACAGAGATTCCCGAGGAATCCCCGAGCCGAAGCCCCCCACTCCTGACCCCACAGCCCCAGCCCCCGCCAAATGAGATGCCCAGATTAACCTGCCCCCCATACGGGCCTCAGCTGCTCTCTGAGGTGCGGGGAGGGCAGTTTCTCGTTCAGAATGTAAAAGCTGCCTGCTGCGAAAATAACTGAAAAGTGCCAAAAAGCAAAAAAGGGAGAGGGGAACCATGCCAGGTTGAACTATCCAATATAACCAATGATAATGTCATGACGTACAATTCTAAATACGGGTGTTTTTTTAAGATTTTATTTATTCATTTGAGAGAAAGAGAGAGAGCACAGAGGGAGAGTGAGAGGGAGAAACAGGCTCCCCACCAAACAGGGAGCCCAACGCAGGGCTCGATCCCCGGATCCTGAGATCATGACCCAAGCCAAAGGCAGACGCTTTAACCGACTGAGCCACCCAGGCGCCCCCTAAATACTGGTTTTTATTTTTATTTATTTATTTATTTATTTATTTATTTATTTATTTATTTGAGACAGAGAGAATGAGAGAGAGAGCACATGAGAGGGGGGAGGGTCAGAGGCAGAAGCAGGCTCCCTGCCAAGCAGGGAGCCCAATGCGGGACTCGATCCAGGGACTCCAGGATCATGACCCATGACATCCTGTCATAACAGGAAGTAAAGAACCTCAAAGACTACTGGGGTCAGGTCAGAAGGACCCAGAGGCCAACTTTAAGGGGGTCCCACTGATCAAAGATGAAGGCAGTCGCTTAACCAACTGAGCCACCCAGGCGCCCAATACTGGTTTTTAAACTCAAGTTACATTAGCCTTTCTCCTACTCTGTAACAAATTATCTTAAGAATTTATTCTCTCTTAAATTTATCCTATGAGTAGAATATAAATATATACAGGGGACCTTGGATGGCTCAGCTGGTTGAGCATCCAACTCTTGGTTTCGGCTCAGGTTGTGATCTCAGGGTCGTTGGATTGAGCCCCAAATCAGGCTCCACGTTCAGCACAGAGTCTGCTTGAGATTCTCTCTCTCCCTCTCCCACTACCCCTTCCCCTGCTCGCGTGAGTTTTTTTTTTTAAGATTTTATTTATTTACTTGACAGAGAGAGACACAGCGAGAGAGGGAACACAAGCAGGGGGAGTGGGAGAGGGAGAAGCAGGCTTCCTGCCGAGCAGGGAGCCCGATGCAGGGCTTGATCCCAGGACCCCGGGATCATGACCTGAACCGAAGGCAGACGCGTAACGACTGAGCCACCCAGGTGCCCCAATATATAAAATATTTTAAAAATAAATGAATATATATATATACACATAGTTGTTTATATTTAAGAAATGAAAAGGTAAGCCATAATATTTATAAAAAGGGCTCCAATGAGATGATTAGAAAGAGAAAGAAAAGGACAGAAGCTCTACTTCCTTGACTATATCTTGTTTTGTGGATTTGATTTTGAAGCCAAGTAAATATTTTACATAACTATAAAAAAATGCAAATGTTGAAAACCAATTCCCTAAAAATTACAAGCAAATTCAAAGAGGGTCCTGTTGGTGCCAGACCATCCAGACAGAACTATACCTGTGGCTCTAGAATAGAGCATTTTGGTTGTAAATCTCTAGAGGGAGGTGCTCTATACAAAAAAAGAACTGTCCAAACAAGAAATCTTCAGCAATAAGGGTAATTGGTCCCATCAGACTCAGCGATCAGTCGGGACAGGGATACTGATGGCCGTCCAGTCACTGGGACTCCAGCCACAACCGTGTCCCAGTCTCGGGGCACTGCTAGCCCCATGGCAGCACCACATTGCTCACGTTTGGTTCTTTCCCACGGTTTCTGAGATTCAAGACTCCCACGTGTACTATGGACGGAAACAAATGGACTGATTCTGTTGGTATCCTTGAGAGCCAAGATTTTTGATGTGGAAAAAGGAAATACAGATAGAAGACTGATGAGGTCAAGTAGAAACCCACAGGCCTGATGCATCAGAGGTTTCAGTACGAACTCCAGATGTAGTTCATGTTTAAAGATAGATACTTTTCTGAGCCTTAGTGACTAAAAAGGCTCAGAAAAGGGGTGCCTGGGTGGCTCAGTCGATTAAGCACCTGCCTTTGGCTCAGGTCATGAACCCGGGGTCCTGGGACCCAGCCCCACATCGAGCTCCCTGCTCGGTGGGGAGTCTGCTTCTCCCTCTGCCTCTGCCCCTCCCCCCACTCGTATTCCCCCCAAAATAAATAAATAATCTTAAATTAAAAAAATAATAACAGGGGCGCCTGGGTGGCTCAGTCGTTAAGCGTCTGCCTTTGGCTCAGGTCATGATCCCAGGGTCCTGGGATCGAGCCCCGCATCGGGCTCCCTGCTCGGCGGGAAGCCTGCTTCTCTCTCTCCCACTCCCCCTGCTTGTGTTCCCTCTCTTACTGTGTCTCTCTGTCAAATAAATAAATAAAATCTTAAAAAAAAAAAATAATAATAATAATAAAAAGGCTTAGAAATGATGATCATCCCAGTAGCAACAAGAGCTGTTAATGTTCCAATTATGGTTTCCAAATACCATTTTCCACTAAAGGTAAGCATGGCTCCTGGGAAGAAAGGTGAATCCCAAGCCTGAGACAGGAAATGTGCAAGGCAGGTGTGGAACATCCTGTCATAACAGGAAGTAAAGAACCTCAAAGACTACTGGGGTCAGGTCAGAAGGACCCAGAGGCCAACTTTAAGGGGGTCCCACTGGTCAAAGATGAAATACTTTCTACATGAATAAGATCATGACTGCAATGGATTGAAACACATCAAATCTGCTTATGTCTATCTATTTATACTGATATATGCAGTTTTAAATCTCCTTCATTACCTTGGAAGGATGCTAGAGAATCAACTCATTATTTTGAAAACTAATGAACAATGAGAAAGAAACAGGCATTTATCTGGAGTTCCCTATGTGAACTGTACCTCAGGGTAACAAACAGTTGGTGAGAAGTTTTCCTATGTAGAAGTAATCCAGAGGGGGAAATGAAGAAGGAAGGACAGAATTCAAAGAGCTCCATTCTACAGTCCTTGATGAATTAAAGGAGTTAGCACCAATCATGAATAGCAGCTAATAACACAAAAGGAGAAAACTGGACATTCTCAGCCTGCTGATGCAGGACACACCACCATCTATAAAGTAGTCATCAAAAAACTGAACCAGATTCTGACCAAACTTCTAGATCTAACTATCAATATTCAGAGAACAGAGGACAGAAGAGAACATGAAAGTGTACCACAGGTACAATCAACAAAATCCGGACCATGGGAAATTCCATACAACAAACCACCCAGTTTCCCCTTCATAACGTTGCAAGGAAAAACAAAAGGGAGATGGGGGGGGGGGTGCTGAGGGGAATCAGTAGATTAAAAAACACTTGAGAATCTCATTGACCAATCACAATGCAAGAGCCTCATCTGGATCTGATTCAAACAAATTGTAAGCAACATAAAACAATTTTAAGACCATGAAGGATATGTGAACAATGACTGGATATTTGATGATATTACGAAATTATTGTTGGTATTATTTAGACATGGCAATGGCATTATCTATGATTTTTAAAAGAATTCCTATCTTCTAGGGACACAGAAATATTTACAGATGAAGTAAGGATTTCTGGGATATGATTCAAAATAATTTAGGGGAGAAGAACGGATGGAGTATAGATTAAACAAGCGGCTATTAATCTTGAAGATTAATTAATGGCCAAATATGGGACAATCTGAGCAACAAAATTAATAACAACAATAACTTAGGGAATAAAACAAATATCCTTGAGTCCATGTTGGAATAAACGAATCAATGGGGAAAAAAAGGAAAGCTCTTTCTTATAGTCAATTCGAGCTAATAAATATAGAAGGAATGATAGAAATACAAATTCATTGTTTGGCAAACACCCTGTAATAACTGCTTCGGTAAGAATTATCAATGGATGCAAACATTAAGAGGGGAAAAGAATGATGGGAAAGCGGCTATTTATACAGTCAACATGCTTTCCCACAAGATACTTATTAGTTAAATGGGACAAGTAGTAATTCTGCAGTGTGGAGAACCCTGGCACGGATCACCTCCGACACGCTGATCAAAGTGAACCTCAGCCAACGACGGGGAGACGTACCCTCATGTGCCTCCTGATGGAATGCACCAAGAGGGCACAGCACTGTTTCTGGGACATTCCTGCCAAAAATGCATAACCTAAAATTAAATTAAATCATGAGGAGACATGAGGAAAAAAACCAAATTGAGGGACAGTCTACAAAATAACCAGCCAGTACTCTTCAAAAATGCCACCGTCCTTAAAGACTAGAAAGACTGAGGAATCAGCCCAGAAGGAAGGACCCTGGGGGATCCCATTGCAATAAGCAACGTGTCCCAGACAAAGACGCTGGTGGGCTGGCTGATGACATCTGATTTTATCACTGATCAATGACTGTTATGTAAGATGTTAGCGTTTGGGGAAGCTGGTGTAAGGGCATAAGGAAATTCTTTTTGCTAATTTTGCAACTTTTTTAAGTGTGAAATTCTTCAAAATGAACAGTTAAAAATAAGCTTTTTCTAAGTGGTTGTTAGTTGATCGTTAGCGAAGCTCGGTGATGGTACCTAGGAGTTCATTATACTACTCTACTTGCATAGTTACTTGAAATGTTCCATGCTAAAAAGTTAAAATGAGAAGTTTCGGAGACAAAACCACCACATGCAAGATATGGACCCTGTCTGGATTTGACTCAAACAAATTAACATGAAAGAACATTTCTGAGACAACCAGGGAAATTTAAATTTGATTATTGGATAATACTAAGGAATCACTGTTGATTTTGTAGGTAGATTTTTTCCCATTGTGATAAAAAAAAACCACACACACACACACACAAAATCTACCAACATAAGCATTTAAAGCGTACAAATCAGTGGCATTAGGTACATTCACAATATTGTATGACCGTCATCCCTGTCCAGGTCCAGACGTTTTTATCACCCCAAATGGAGACTGTCCCCATCAGCAGCCCGTCTCCACTCCCCCTCCCCCAGCCCCGGCAACCACTAATCTGTTCTGTATCTCTGATCTGCCTATTCGGGACATCTCATATAAACGCCATATAACATGTAAAATGTGGCCCTTTGTGTCTGGCTGCCTTCATTCACCATGATGTTTTCTAGGTACATCCACACTGTAGCATTTATCAGCATCTCGTTCTTTTTATAGCTGAAATATCCCATTGTGTGAATAGACCACATTTTGTTGATCCGTGCACGTGCTGATGAACATTTGCATTACTTCTACTTCTTGGCTATTGTGAACAGTGCTGCTGAATATTCATGCATAAGTTTTTGTTTGAACACCTGTTTTCAATTGTTCTGGATGCGGTCGTAGGAGTGGAATTGCTGGGTCATATGGTGCTTCTGTTTACCTCATCCAGAAGCTGTTTTCCAGAGTGGCTGGCTCCATTTCACATCTGGCCAGTGTCCCCACATAAGGGTTCCAATTTCTCCACATCCTTGCCAATGCTGGCCATCTTCCATTGCTTTTGTCTTTAAAATTATTATGGATAGGGGTGCCTGGGTGGCTTAGTCTGCCTTCAGCTCAGGTCATGATCCTGGGGTCCTGGGATCAAGTCCCACATCGGGCTCCTTGCTCAGTGGGGAGCCTGCTTCTCCCTCTGCCCCTCCCCCCGCTTGTGCTTTCTCTGTCAAATAAATAAATAATCTTTTAAAAAAATTATTATGGATGACCATCCAAGTGGGTGTGAGGTGGGATCTCACTGTAGTTTTGATTTGCATTTATTTCCCCAATGACTAATGACAATGAGTATCTTTTTGTGTGCTTTTTGGCCATTGTTAGGTGTATTAACATACTGTAGTTAGCTCAAAAATAACCATCTTTTTTGGAAAGACGTACTACAACATAAAAGGATACAATAACAACAAATCTGGGATTTAAAATACAACAGCAAGGAGCGCCTGGGTGGTTCAGATGGTTAAGCATCTGCCTTCCGCTCAGATCATGATCCCAGGGGCCTGGGATCGAGCCCCACATCAGGCTCCCTGCTCAGTGCAGAGCCTGCTTCTCCCTCTCCCACTCCCCCTGCTTGTGCTCTCTGGCTCTATCTATCTCTCTGTCAAATAAATAAATAAACTCTTCAAAATACCATCAACTTTTAAAAAAATAAAATACAACAGCAAAAAAAAAAAACCAAGTTAAAAAAGAAAAAGGAAAAAGAAGGGAATGTGGCAAAATCTTTTAATTGTTAAATCTGAGTGATGGATATATGGGGAGAATCCCTCTGAAATATGCCACAATAAAAAAAGAAATTCTGCCCTAGGAAACAAAGTCGTGAAAACCCAGGGTGGTTAAGCCTGTGGTCTTTGTTCATTCAAACCACAAGCCTCTCCTCTCCTACAAGGCTCACAAGGCATTTCCTGGGTTCTTCCTGGGGACCCCTGACTCCCTGTGCCCTGACATTCACAGATGTCAAGGAGGCTTGGGGGCAGAGGTTCTAGACTTCCGGGGCAGACAGCCAGCCTTCTCCATGCATTGTGAAATACCAGCGCTCTAGACAGGAACACGTGGGAAATTTGGATCCAACAAGAAGGGAGCACCACAGTGATCCTGGGGGTACTTGCCTCACCGCAGGGTGCTGACAATGTCCCCAGCATCATGTCCAAAACAGACATCAGGGCAGCCTTAGCCGGCTGCAGACATGTGCCCACTGTCTTTTCAACGACGCTCTCCGTAAACCACCTGCTGCTGGGGACCAACTCCACATCCCCTGGGAAATGGGGGGCCCTGTGGACATCAAAATCGTAACTGCTTTTTTTTTTTAAAGACGTATGTTGGGAAGGCCATCTGTCTCAAAAACAGTCATCCTGTAAGGGTGGCAAGACGCATGATTTTATTCTTACATATTTGAATCTTGCTACGTATTGTTTTTTCAATGAACTGTTGTGTTTTTTTTTATGGAGAAGTGTCCTCTTATCATTACTAACGTAAGCATTTGATGTCAAAGAGACGAAGGTAGGGGCGCCTGGGTGGCTCAGATGGTTGGGCATCTGCCTTCGGCTCAGGTCACGATCCTGGAGTCCCGGGATCGAGTCCCGCATCGGGCTCCCTGCTCGGCGGGGAGTCTGCTTCTCCTCCCTCTGACCCTCCTCCCTCTCCTGCTCTCTGTCTGTCATTCTCTCTCTCTCAAATAAATAAATAAAATCTTTAAAAAAAAAAAAGAGAGACGAAGGTAGTTTTACAAACTCAGAATGTTTGCAAGGACATAAAATTTCCATTTTATCGTGGTTTTCTGCCACACTAGCTCAAATGCACTTGTCCACAAGCAGCCCCGCACGGCCCCTTCGGAGTTATTTCAGGCAGCTTCAACATGGGACTCTGCCCAACACTCTGAGTCGAGAATAAACATATTAAATTGTAATTATTAACTTTTTGCTGGATGGGGTAAGAAATAAAGTCATCAGGTGATGGGACAGTCATCAGGTAGGACTGTTAATTTCCAAGGAAAAACTTGGTTGAAATGTTTCTTCTGATACAGTAGTTACAAATTAGAGTTTTCGAAAAACAAGGGCAGAACCAAAGTGCGGTGAAAGAAATTTCTGCAGCTTAGGCCTCCCATAGCCCTAAATCTCTGAGAGCAGCAAGGCAGAGCACCTTTCCTGCAAATTAAGTAGGTTTCCAGGATTTCCATGTAGTTGAGCTTTCAGAGAGAACCACTCAAGACGTATCATTAATCTATACATTATCTCAGCTCTGGTTGTCTTTTTCTTTAAGATTTTGTTTATACAAAAAAAAAATTTTTTGCTTAATTATTTGACAGAAAGAGAGAGGGAGAGAGGGAGGGAGGGAGGGAGGGAGCACAAGCAGGGGGAGCGGCAGGCAGAGCAGGCAGAGGGAGAAGCAGGCTCCCAGATGAGCAGGGAGCCCAATATGGGGCTCGATCCCAGGACCCTCGGATCATGACCTGAGCTGAAGGCAGACACTTAACTGACTGAGCCACCCAGGCGCCCCAGCGGTTCTGGTTGCCTTAATTATGCCTGCAGAGTGAGATGGCCATCCAAGTCCAAAGGCAGAGGAAGAACACACACACGGCTATGGTCATGGGCAGGGACCGACTGCAAAAGCCCAGGCTGGCTGGGCTGGTGCAGCCTCGTATGAGCTTTTCTTCCACGGAGGCAGAACCGAACAGTCCTGCCAAGGAGACTGACGGAATAAGGACAGTCAATGTAGGAAGACGCAGAGATATTCTTCTCCCCCACGTCTTCCCTGCCACTCGGACTCTTTAAAAGGTAAGTGGTATTAAGAAAATTCAGTTGTGGGGCGCCTGGGTGGCTCAGTTGGTTAAGCGACTGCCTTCGGCTCAGGTCATGATCCCGGAGTCCTGGGATCGAGTCCCACATCGGGCTCCCGGCTTGGCAGGGAGCTTGCTTCTCCCTCTGACCCTATCCCCTCTCATGCTGTTTCTCTCTCTCTCTCTCAAATAAATTAATTAATTAATTAAAAAAAAAAAAGAAAATTCAGTTGTGGGATGCCTGGGTGGCTCAGTTGGTTAAGCGTCTGCCTTTACCTCGGGTTATGATCCCAGGGTTCTGGGATCGAGCCCCACATTGGGCTCCCCGCTCAGTGGGGAATCTGCTTCTCCCTCTCCCTCTGCCCTTCCCCCCTGCTCATGCTGCACACTCTCTCTCACGTTGTCTCTCTCTCTCAAATAAATAAGATCTTTAAAAAAAAAAGAAAGAAAGAAAATTCAGTTGTGTGTGTTGTCTTCCACGATGCTCTAGAGCTGCTCCATTTCTTCTTGCTTCTGATTTGCCGTGTCATCCTAGCCGCCTGCGGTACCATATGAGGAATCCCGTCAATAATGGGATAGGCTCTTCCCGATTCTTCATTCATCAATTCGTTGGTCGATGTTTCATATCTGAGCCGCTTCTCAGAGGGCAGGCACACCAGGAACTCAAGCAGCGCCCGGTGGAAGGCGCGGGGCGGGTGCCCTGTCCTCTTGCTCTTGACTGCTGACCTCCGCCACCCAAACGCGTGAAGGCACCTCCGGGCCACCGCAGGTGATGGCGTGTACCCCGCAGACTGAGGCGAGCACGGTCTAGCAGCCCACGACCCTCGGCCAGCCCCCCACGCCTTCCGCCCATCCCCAGGCTGCCTGCTCCTCGCCTCTTCTGCGAACTATTTTTAACACGTTGGTAGGCTGGTCAATTCTTATCCTTCCAGAGAAGAAGCAGATGTCACTTAGAAACGGCCACAGGCCTTTGTGTCTTACTCTTATGCTGAAACTAATTTAACTGCTTGAAAGCATTCAGTGGGCCTCCTCTGCGGTCCTTCTCCCCCTTCCCAGTAAAATCAGCTCTCATGGGTGGAAGGGCCCACGCCTGGCTGCCCAGCCAACCTCCACAGGCTGCCCGAGCCCTCCAGCCCATGCTCCGGGCCATCCCCGACGGAGCGGCTTCCACACACACACACACTCCCCCGAGAGACCACCCTACCTCGTGGGCTTCCACCCCCATCTCCTTCAGGGCCAACTGGAAGTACTCAGGAGAAGGTTTCCCCACCACTTCGGCTTCGATTCCACAGGCATACTGGGAAAAGAGAAAAGGACACAGCACGAGTTGAGGATGAAGCCACAGGCGAATACTGCTCCGAAGGCCTCCCTCTGGGGAATCAAGGGAAAAGTGCCCCAAATGTGCACCCACGGGCCAGGGGCCTCCAAGAGGCAGGACGCTTGGGCTGAGAGACACATCTCAGAGGCAAGAGCATCAGGATGCTCAGGGCACCCCCACCAGGCCCCCTGACATCTGCTGAAAAACCTGAGCACAGCAGGAGGTGGGCCACCCCCCCCCCCCACCTTGGCTGGTGCTCTCATTTGCGTACTTGCTTCTCCCATGCCCCCAACTCTGTCACAGGCCCTCCAGGGGAAAAGGCCCAGGGCTCTATCTGTCAGTCTGCCCAGCCCTCCCACCTAAGTGCGGGTAGGCAGGAGCCTACGTAGCAATGAGGATGGCAGGTCAGCTGACCTGGGGCGGCTGAGCAGGCACGGGTCAGAGTGGGCCCTGGGGAGCCCCATCTGGGCCCAGCCCTGGAAACTGGAGGACGCAGTCAGGAGGGAGTCCCATTAGGACACATCAAGCTCAAGGTGTTGCAGATGAGCAGGGTCAGGGCTGAGGCAGGTGGCCCGCACAGAGACGGAAGCCGAGAGTCTGAGAGGAGAGCAGCAGTGAGCAGGCTGGAGGCCAGCCGGGTCCACGGCAGGCGGGCTAGGGTGTGGGGAGGAGCAGGAGGGACAGGAGAGCACAGTGACAACCCGGGCGGCTGACGGGCCACGCTCTGGAGCAGAGGGGGCGCTCAGCTTGAAGCCCCGAACAGGAGGCCCTACTTTGGAAACAGAAGAGGCGATTCAGACATGGAGTACACCCCCTTCTCCAGAAAGACCAGAAACATCCCAGACAGCCCTGAGATCTGAAGAAGGCACAGACAGACTCAGGGCAGGTACCTCGAGCGCCTTCATGTAGGCACCGACGTCCAGCATCAGGCCCGAGGTCTCCTTGTAGTAGCGTCTACAAAAGAGCAGGAGGGAACAAAGTGAGCTGAGCCCGGGAGCTATGCCAAGAGAAACTGCCCTGTCCTGGTTCTGCCAGCTCCGGAGAGCAGAGCCACGGGTGAGGGTCAGTCCAGACGCCACGCTGGGAACGACCGACGGAGGTCGGCACAACAGAGCCCAGCGGCGTGTCACCGTGCCCGGGCAGGAGGGACAGTGGGCCGGCAGCTCTCAGTCCCAGTGGCCCCCTGCTGCCAGCCTTATGGGGACCCCAGGGGCAGATGGATCCTGTCAGCAACAGAAAGGCAAGTGGCCTGTGTTCTGGGAAAGGGCAGAAGGTCCACAGAGCATGTAGTGAACCCCTACCTGCTAATAATTAACCCTTAACTGCTGCCCGAAGAAAACTCCATTAGTTCCATGGCACCCCGCAGCATCTCCGATTAGCCAGAGGTCGAGGTGCCAGGTTTCAGGGGCGCCAGATGGTTTCACGAGAGGACAACTCTCTCTTCCCTGTCTCACTGGAGACCGCCACTGCTCGGCTTGCGGGACTGTGCCTTTCTGAGGACAGGCCGTGAGCCCTGCGCTGGCCCTGGCCTCCACCGTCTGGCCCACTCCGGGCCACACAGACCCCTCAGGACACGTGGTGGACCAAGCCCGGTTCCCTCGGAGCAAAGCCATTTGACTATGAAGAGGGGCAAAGGTAGTTTAATCTGTGCTGCTCAAAAGACAGGGTTAATGGGAGCCCAGGACTGTTCAAATGTTTTGAGACCCATCACGTCAGGTGTCCTCTCTTTCCCATGCCCTTTGAGTCGGAGAAACATTGAACAACGCGTACGCAGAGACCCAAAGAAAAGAGAGTGAAGCACGCTGACTCCAGGGCCCAAATCCAAGCTCTACTTCTTTTTAACTGTGGGACTTTGGGTTGCTCAAGTCCTCTGGGCCTCAGTTTCCTAATCTGTAAAATGCGGGGGGGGTGGGCAGGGGCCCCAGTGCCCACCTCATGGATTGTTGCGAGGCTCAAACAAAATAATGCATGCAAAGTTCTTAACATGACGTCTCACATGCAGACACCACTCAAAAAATATTAGAAAATATTATTATTCTGTTTACCCGGACCAGGCTACAGGCAGTAAGCTATGAGCTGGGCCAGAAAGGATGAACACAAGTCTTTCCCATCTGTGGGAGTCGCAACCTGTTCTGTGCCTACTGAAATGTTAGAACTGAGCTTCCCAGGAGCTGCCGCAGAGCTGTCCCCTTTCTTCCAGCTCTGCGCACCCAGGAGTCCCGCCTGTTCCTCTCGGCCCCACCTGAGGCCCTGAAGGCTGCAGGAGCCTGACCGCCTGCCCACACTCACCCAGCACTCAGCATTCTCTGGCTCCATGCAGGCCAGCCTGCAAGGCTTTTAGAATCAACCAGCAGCACTGCTGAGGACCCCATGGGCCAGACGATGCTGCAGGCCCAGGCTTCAGCTTCGTCCCCTCGCCCTCTGTGTGATGACTGCTGTGGGAAGGGAAGAAGGGGGCAGTGGGAGCCCAGAAGGGACAGGAGGGGGACCAGGGAGGGCCTCCCTGAGGAAGGGACATGTCAAGGTGAGCCAGGGACAAAGGACAGAGGTGAGGAGAGAATGCAGAAAGCACAAGAGAGGCTGACCCAGAAGCCAAAGGACAAATTAAAAACAACGCCACCTTGTTGCAACAGGCACAGCTCTGTTTGGAGTTGAGGATTCTGGGGGCCTCTGGCCAGTGCCCTGGGCCAACTTGAGCTGGGTGTACCTCCCTTTGGAAAAACCTTCCAAGGACACCTCCACGGCACAACTTCTGCCTGGCCCATACTCCCCAGTCTTTCTTCCCAAGTGACAGGAACCTGGACTTTCTGAAGTTTAAATTTAGTCCCGCTGGAAGGAAAAACCTGAGCATGCAGCTTAAAATACACAATCAAAACCTTGTCTTTGTTACACTCATGTCTAGAGCCTAAAGAAAAAACTGACTTCCATAAATCAAAATTAGAAACCTTACAATTTCTTTTTTAACTGAATCTGGGTTTGTTTTTACAGCGTCCAGAATTTCCCTTTATTCCTTACTCATTCAGGAAAACCAAAAGCCACCTTGAAGGCCATCTGTTAGCTGAAAACATTTTTAGAGACACAGGAAATACAAGTACCTAAGTTAATTTTTTCTAAATATAAAGGCCCAGGTTATTCCCAAAACCTAAGAGATCTGATATCCTATCTTCTGTTACTGGCATCACGAAAGCAACAGGAGGCCTGGCTGGAATGTGAGTGTTCCAGCCACAAACTAGAAACTGGGGATGCTGGGGAGACAGGACAGGGCTGGGGGCAGAAGCAGTCAGTGGATTTTATGCTTTATTCTTCTGCCCTTCCGATTATTCAGCACGACCTCCCTTCAAAATGACCACTTGACCTCTCCCACAAGAACCATTAACCTTCCATAGTCTGTCGCGTAAACAGCTTAATTTTCTGACGACAGCATGACAGAAGAAATTACAAAGGCAATTCCCACTCTCGGTCCAAACAGATGCCAAATGTAAATCACTCCATTTCCAGGAGGACATTCTGCCCCAGTGCCTCCGCCATCCTGCCTCCTTGGGGGCATCGTGCGGCCCCACGCTGGTGGAGGACGACCCCTCGCTGTCCATGCCCCCCACTTGGACAGGACAGCAGCTCTTCATGGGTCCTTGGGCTGTCCCAGTGCTGACCTGGGCCCGAAAGCTCTCAGTTCCTGTCCCTCGTTTCCAAGCGCCCAACCCATAGCCCAAGTCAGAAGCCCCATTAAGTCAGAGGCACCCCTAATCGCTTATTTGTAAAACCAGCCCTTGCCTACTCTTGAATTTACTGCAGAATGACGAAGCTCAAAAGCAACTGATTCTGTTTCTTTTTCTTTTTCAACAACATATCTACTTTGACCACTACCCACAATCTGGAACAATAACGTTTAACAATTAGGGACAATTTTAAAGAAAAAAGTTTTAACGTAAATCAGTTACAACAGAGCTTCTTAATTATGCTGTTCTCCAGTGAGGGGCTGGTGATCTTAGGGATGCCTGAAGGACCAAGCCTGGAACGTAAGGGAGGTAAGCAGGCCAGGTTCCACGGTCTATAGTGCTCTAC